AAAAACCTTTAGTTTAATAGCATGTTATATAACCTCCAAAATAATATTCGTAATAACCAAGACGTGAATAATAAAAGCCAAATACAGCTGTATAACCATAAAAACAAAGGAATAACAGCAAGAATAAATTAGTGGATGTAGAAAAATAAGAATAAGAAAGAAAAAGAATGTAGTAAATTAAATTAGAAGCTGATATTAAAAGAAAAGAGGAGGAAAAGAGAAAGTTAATAAAAATGCAATAAGAAGAGGAGGCAAAAAAAAGATTTAAAGAAGATCAAAAAAAGAAGAGAGAATAACAATAAAAAGATATGAGAGAGGATCTCCAAAAAAGAAGATAATAAATATAATAATAATAAAGTTAACCAAATCTTGAAAGTGAACCGAAATATATTGTTAGACAAACGATCTCATAACCTGAAAATTTGGATGATAATTTGGAGGAGTATAATAGTGAAGAAGAAACTTATGAAGCTGAAGGTTAATAGAGTAATAAAAAGCAATTCTAAGAAGCGGAACTTGAAGATCAAGACGAACCAAATATGGATTATGGATTAGTACAACAGGAAAATGATGCTGAAATAGATGCATTATAATAAGCAATCTTATGTAAGGAGTATGAGAAAGTGGTATGTTGAATGTATTTATCATTAGCTTGAGGAAGTGTAGGAAACTAATAATATTGTGAATCAATTATGAGATCCTTAATTTGAAAAAAAAAGATAATAGATATTGGAATAATTTGATCTTGGAGATGGTCTGGATTTTGATGATTTAGAAGATGATGATGATGAAGACGATCTAAATCTAACAAAAACTGCTAAAACAACAAACTAAGATGTCGGACTGGATTACTTTAATAATCCATAAGGCTTAAGATCATATTTATAACAAGTGCTTAGCAAAGAAGCATTTGAAAACATCTATAATTACACTTTAAAGTAAACATTAAACATAATCCAAGTGATCTTTTGACATATTAAGTAGAAGAAATTGAAAAAATGATTAGCAATAACAAGAGTTTGTTACAATACATAACACATGAAGAAACAAAAAAGTTTGTACCTTTGATGTTGTAATTAGTAGTATAGGAAAATAGTTAATGATTTTAAATTGAAAAATTCATTCTAATATAAAACAATTCTAATTTATTTTAATTTTGCTAATATAATACTGTTCTCCATAAATTGATGCTCATTGATAAATCTTTAAACAATAATAATTTTATATTACACATAATTAATGGGGGCACTCATCCATTCTAGTTAATTGAAATCATAGATTGAATATTTAGATGAGGATAATACAATTACAGTTAATGTACCTAAGACATTCTAATATTATCCTAAACTCTGTTAGTATGATGATGAAATTGATGACATAAATTTAGGAATTAATGAAATAGAAGTTAATAAGTAGTGTTTTATATTCTTTCAAACCACCATAAAGGAAGAGTAACTCAATGACATAGATGATAGCAGAGAAACTCCTTCTTGGAATACTCCTCAAGTTTCTAATAAGCCAGAGTATATTTAGAATCCTAGAATGAAATCACCACAAAAAAAATCTAAATCGAAGAAAAAATAAAGAAGCAGAATTTCTTAAAGAATAAATTTGGAAGACATATTTTGAAATAATTGTTTAATTGTAGATAGCATATTTATTTATATTCAAATATAAATCCTTTATTATAATTTTCATCAGTTTTTAATTCTTATCTCTTTATTCTTAAAATAAAGATAATTCAATAAAAATTAAAATTAAATCAATTTAAAACAAATACTATAATCACTTCTCTTTATTTTGGTACTTATTCACTGTAAAGGACACTATATTCAAACTTTTTATAACTATTATTAAAATGCTGGTGCCAAGTATCCTCAATAAATTATCGACGACATCAAATATTGACTCATCAATTTATAATATTGATTTAACTCAAATTTCTATAGTGCTTTTAATTAAAATTATATGCGATTTTATAGCCTTAAACCTATTTATTTAAACAACTAACTATATATTCTAAAACTAATTTTTACAGGTTATAAGGGATTTCTTAAGAGTCACCGATTAAAGTAAGTTGAGCTTTCTCTATTCCTAAATAAATTATTTCGCATATGGTCTTATCTTTTTCATTTCTGCAGATAGTTCCTTAATAAAATAGATTTTTTTTTGCTATATCTATTACAAAGGCACTATTACATTTTAATGTCTCTTAATTTAAGCCTATTTTTTAAGTATTATGCAAGATTTATGATCATAAAATTTAATAATGAAAATTTGTAACAACTTTAAATTAATAAAATATTATGAATATTTCTGATACAATATTCTTAACTTTGAAATAGAAATATAAAGGATAATAATACTTCAATAACTCAATTAAATTGATTTAAATTTAAGAATAAATTTTAACCAAATATTAATTGATAACACAAATTAGCATCACTATATAACATTCAGATCTTAAGCATTTAGATATCTAAATAATCTATTTTAATTAGCTTTAATTTATTTATTGAGCATTTAAAATAATTATGTACTATTTATATCAATTATATCATGTTATTTGTGAATTTTGTACAAAATTTAATATGCAAAAAAAATGTATATGCATAAAACGAAGTTCAAGAAATAAAAATGACTAATCTATAATGCAAGAATATTAAAAAGACTAGGGTGACTATTTCACATATTAAAAATCTTAAAATTCATTTATTATTAATTAATGATCTTTTTATCTTGTCTATTTATAACATTATATGGCTAGGCATTATATCCCTCTTATAATGTATACCTAACTTAGGGAGAAACTTATTCCCTACAAATGAATGAATTATTTAAAGAAAAAAATCTAAACTTCACTATTTTGGATTGCCCCAAAAATGTTCAAGTACTTAAGGCCTTAAATTTAATATCTGAATAGAATAATAGTATTATTAGATATGTTATTTAGATTAAACATTTATTTCTATATCCTCCTCATTCCCATACTACTTACTAATTACATAAGCTCATGTATTAAATTTTTATTTTTGGAATTCAACTTATTTAAATCTCATAAATTAAATGGAATTACCACAATAAACTTGTTTGAATGCTTTACTAACTTAGGAAGATTCAATAATAATAGACTGCTACAATTTGACTAATTTAAATATTTATAATTATCAAGAGAATGCTTGGACTATTGTTTATTCAGTATTAGTTCCATAAAAACCAAAAAATACTGACCTTAAAACATTTACTAGTAATTCTATTAATTCTATTCTATATGCATAATATTATGATGACTATGATATTTTAACTCAGTTTCAATTTAGTCAAAATTTATTATAAAATATTTCTATTTGGATATAACCATTTATTAACTTTATAGTTTCTAATAAATCCTAATCTCAAAATGCAATTTACTTATGGAATAATAATACTTTGTATCAATTAAATGTTAATGAATATGGGTTGAATTCAACAAATATTATTTATAGATTTCCCTCTTAAATCATGGCAGTTTAAATATTCAATCCATAAATAATATTTTATGAATGCGATACTTTATAAATAATTCTCAAAGATTACAGCTTTGAATAGCATGTATGTTATTAGTATGCAGCATATTCATATGGTTAATATAAAACTATTATTCGTTTTAACTAAAACTCATCAATTTTCTTAAGCAATTAGTTCTTAATTGTAAAATACTTTGATCTAATAGAAATTTATGAGATTGAAACAAGTTAAAAGAATTACTAGATTTACAAAAATAATACAAAGTTTAAATAGAATTTCAAATTGACTGGAGAGCTACAATTAAATTCTTCATTAGCTTAAGTTTCCTTTGATTATAATAGCAATTTGTTATTTATATTTAGTGATACTTAGATTTCGACTTATTATGTAGATTATTCTAAGATAAAATTTGAGTCTCATTAGAATTAAACAAATTATCAATTTATTATTCAAGGAAGCCCATATTAGACAAATTAAACTGATGCTTCTAAGTGCTAAAACTGCATGGTATAGTTAAATGTTACTGTTCTCTCAATTAATGATAATAACATATACTTAACTTATGGGTTTCGCGATTAAATTTTGTATTAATTTTAAACTCAAATTCCTCATCTATAATCAATCTTACAATTTTCAGGTTCCCTCTTAACTGTAAATTTTTCAGTAGAAAATTCAAGCCTTGGATACTTTAATGATATAACATTTTAAAATGTAGGCTCCATAAATTAATCATTTCAAAATTTATAATTTCTAAATAAAAGTTATGCTGTTGTAATAATAAACCAAAATATTTTGTTATTAAATATATAAACTTTTGGAAGTCAATTTTATTTCAATTTTACTTAGAATTTTACAATTAATTCTCCGATAAATAGAATTAATAATCAAATCTAAGGTTATTGTTTTTTGAATGATATTTATTTTGGAGTTTAAATTAACAGTTAATAATTATTTATATGTAATCATTGTTAAGAGTTTGATAATGTAACATCTATTTTATCTTTTTAACCCTTTTAATAATTCTATTTATTTTATTAATAGATTGTACTTTTACTTGAATCAAATATAATATAAATATGTCGTTTTAATGGAATTTGCAATAATTTAAAAATTAAAGATCTTATAAAACCAGTAGGTTTAGCATTAAATTAACAATAATAATCATCGACTTTATTTATTAATGATAATTATAGTGACATTATTGTTGGATAAATTGCATCTTCAAATTATTATTATATAATAAATAGTATTATACATGTCAAAGCTCAAGTATAGGATATTAAGATTGTAAATAATCGGTTGATATTAAGTTATTATTGCTAATAGAATTAATTTGTTTGTTTTTAAGTCTGGAATGTTGCAAACTTGAACTCCCCATATTTTGAAAAGAATTTGAGAAGTATTTAAGACTCAAATAATATTCAATTATTTGCTGATAATTTATTTTATTATGTTCAAACTAATGATTAAATCTATGTTTATTATCCATTTGTGCTTGAACATTCTTCATTATTTTATACATTTGACTATAATGGATCCTATTTTACAACTACTTCTACTATAGATAGATTCAATCTTATTAGTGGTGCTTCTTAAGATGGCGCTTTGATATCATTCAATTCTTAATTTTATGAGTTATCTCCAACTTTAGTATACTTTTATCAACCTAAGAACACAGAATATGATCACGAATGATATAACACTTTGGTCTAACAATTATGAAGAGGGCGGTTTCATCATAAATGGGAGGACAAAATGTTATTAATGATCCCTCTAATGAACAAATGATGATTTTGAAAGATTTTGTGAATATGTTGATGAAGAATTAGACATATAAGGTGTCACAAAAGCATGTCATTTGAACATCAGAGAATATGACGGCTAG